TGCTCACTAATATTGCACCCGTGGGACATGTGGCGCACTCGATGTCTTACCATCGACGCGATGATTGGAGTCTGCACTGATTTATTAATGTTATTGAAGCATTAACAGCCTATTTGGTTGGTTTTGTTTAAGCAGTTTTTTACACTAACCTTTTACTTGTAATTACACAGAATCATTTGTATGTAAGGTAAACAACAATGCTTGTGTGGTGATTTAATATCAAAGTACGTTACATTAAGCCAAGCGTATATAATGTGATCGGCACAGCGTGCATAATGTTCGGTGATTTAATACATGCACAGAACGCTTGTGTATGCACGGCCCGCGAAAATCTCTAGCAAAAACTTGATGACAACCGTTGTTACCATGAAGCAAACAGAAATATTTAAACGAGCGAACACGACCGCCTCACATGGCCTTCTCTATATATCCTATAGTCATAAAAATAACAGCTTTTGTGAAAGTATACACCGTTCCATTTAAAAGGAGGATTCGTATCAAATTTTAAACGCTTGAAACTATCGCTAGCTGACTGAGTACTGCTGATGTTGTTATTGAAGGTAACTTGATGCCGCGTGCTCGGAGTTTGTTCATCAACTATTATAATATCATTTCTGAAGAGTACAACAATTTCATTTTCAGCGCTCAATTTTCGGGGAGACTTGTCGATTTTAACACTTTTCATTACACGGAGAATATTTTGATGAATACCTGTCTGTTCAATATCAATAGCATTTTAGCATAATATGTAAGGGTTCTTTACCAGGTCGAGAGTGAATTTCTTGTGTATAAGTAAGTAATTACCTGCACTACGACTGGTAAAACCTCCAAATAACATCCTATACATCCTACAAATTCATGATGTTATGATGATAGTGTAATTGAGCGCTTCGAGTGTGAAGAACTCGCACCACAAATATTTGTGCATCCACCAGCGCCGTGCTGTGAATGTGGAATGTTGCAAGTTCGCCCGCGGCGCACCTGGAGAGGGATATACATTGTCCAGTGTTTGTTACATGTTGCAAAATGTTTTTTATTTACCTATTAATAGTTCTCTAATTGTATAGTAGGAGTGTGACACTTCTTACTGCATGCACAACTGTCTGTATGTTCGTCTGTTTGTCGTGACTGTGTGATCCACCACACCTACAAGTATTAACATAAGAATGAAAGGAGCAGCGCACACTGTCCACACGACGGATTACGCTCAGCTAGTGTGACAGTAGTTTGCAGATGTCTTCTAACTGAGATATTTGCGAAGTAAACGCCGAGATATGTGCTGGGGGCAGGCGGCGGCAGGCGGCGGCGGGCGGCGGCCTGATTCCGTAGCACATGCGGACTTCACAAGTTGCTCCACCGAGTGGACGCTCGAAGAATACTTATTCGTTCTGCTTGAAGACAGTTCGTTACGCTAACTTCGGTAGGCTATACTTGCTATAGTTGCACAGAGTTAGTGGTCGCACTGCGAGTTTGGATTGGAATTGTACCCGAGTTCAACGACCGACTTACTTCCGCAGCTCAAAACTTTCTGTACCAGTTAGGTTTCGGAACCTGAGTCTGTAGACTGACACATGCAATTTTTTATTCTTAATTAGAAACTTTCGTCATTCCTAGATAAAACATAGTTTAACCCAATTGTATAAAGTTTCGTAATAAAATTGAAAAAGTTAGGTTTATCGTTACTTAATCAAGTGACGCCACTAAATCCCCATACAAAAGTTAATTTAAACTTAAACCATGAACAACTGGGGTAACAATTAATTTAGTAAACGCGCTTATCGGCTCGACTAAGTGACATTTTAATTTGTGTAATTTAGTCGGTCCCGGGCCCCGGCTCCTGGTAAACAACGCTAAGTTCCCGGCGCCACTTTTTGTTCGGCGCGTGTTTTGCGCGCAAGATAAACGCGTCAAGTTTAGCGGCTGCCGGCGCAAGTTACGGGCGATTGTATCGGCGCCGCTATGGAAATTAATAACAACTTTCTGGAACGAAACAGCTGAAAATGTTGGTGTTGAGTCTTTCATTTTGTGATTCATTGTGCGCGCTCCGTTTTTTGTAAAGTTCGCGCTATTATATTGAATATATTCTGGAATTTTTTAATTATTTTAACGAGTTTTTCGGGATCTGGTTGTATACATAGTGGAACTACTCAATAGTTTTACATAGCATATGAGCAATATCTAGACATTTGACGTTTCTATTTGTATTTTGCAGGAATGTGATTAGGTTGCTCGACAGTTGAGCTTACGAACATGTCGGCGCAATCTCTGTCGTCACCAACTTGTCTCGTGCGTCACCCGGCTGCGCCCGCCGTCGCTGAACAAACAGTTGCGTTATATATATCTGCAAGTTCGCAAGTTGCTCGCTACCCGCTACCTGTGGGTACGTGTGGCAAGTTGTAGTTTACGAGGGCGTAACCAGCCGTGTTATTTATTTACCAACAAGTACAAGTAACGCGAGCCTCCGCCCGAGGACACACAACTAATGTCACGCTCCACCCTGCCGCCGCCGCCGCCGCCGACCGCTTTTTGTTTACATACACACAAATTTTCACAAGACTTCTTCCATCTTCCTGGAAGTTGTCCGTCGTTACTTTCAACCCAGTACAAGAAACTATTTATTTCATTTTATGGCGAAACTGAGACTTCCTTAAAACTTTATTTTGGTATCAAACTTATTTCCCGAAGAAACCGTTTCGAGTTTTTATGATGGCAGAGCTGAACTCTCTGAAGGAAGTTAGAATTTAATTTGCCAAGCCAAGGAGTTATTTTATACTTATGTTGGTTTAATCCTGCGAATATATTGGGAGCACGGTTTATAGCTAGAATATACTGGAAATGAAGATTATAGAATTAATGCTTAGATAATAACTTGAAAATTAAAGTGTTAGAAACAACAATAAAACTCTTGCCATTATGAGTGTAAAAAAGTAATAAAATAAAACAGGTACATTGACAAGTATACTAACCATGAACCTTACCAAAATTCCGTAGCTACGTATGAGTCGACAAATTCCTCGAAGCCACTCCAGGCATTGTGTAAAGTTAAACTGTGTGATATCTCCTCGCAGTAAGCGGTGTAAGACGTAGACACACTTCATAAATCAATGTCACGTAATAAACGTCACGATAAATGTATATTTGTCGCCCGTCAAACGGTGGGAATCACGAGGAAATGCGTGAAAAACCATATACAGTGGAAAAAAATCTAGACAGGCGAAAATATACTCTAAACGTGTAACCGGGAGAGTCGAATATTCGGGGCAGGGAGTAATAGAAATACGTTAGTGAATATCGAATAAGGTCGGATCAGTGATTGATATCACTTTTCATGCCACATATATAGCAATATTGGGGTTTAGGTAGGTACACTTACCTACATAATATACGGTCCAGCAAACATAAATAAAAAGGGGATCGAGACGTTAAGCCGAGCGCCGACCTCGAGTGGATCCGAGGCGAACTGTCCTAGTGGCCGATAGTGATCGATGGCACATGCAAATACTAACCACACTGCTTGAATGGAAGGTAATACATTTAAACGAGGAATATAATAAATGAATATAAGATACTGAGATGATAATAAGAAATAGAGTCAACAAATATCATGGAATTGGATGTGATAGTGAAGCACAATATATCAAAGTGGACTGTATGGCAGCAGTGGCTGCACAATCAGGGATCAATCCAGAATTGCATTCGTCCAATACCGCAGTGACTGCGACGAACAACGACGTCTTGCTGATACAAACACACTTCTGTGAGCTGCGCACAATTTGAGCTCTAAGATCTACCACATAAGGGTGAGATAAATGGTACGAGTTTGTGGTTCCGAGTAATGTGGACGTAATTGTGTGTCAGAGGCACACATATCCATTACTGATCCACGTAAACTCGACGGATTAGTTTTTGATATAGAGGCGATAGTAGATTGAGGCCAGCGTTGCTATATGAGACTCTGTGTGCTGAGGTTATTGAAGCTCAGTGAGATATCATCGTTATATTGCAAACTAACATTTGTTCTCCGAACTCAACGAGGGTCTGATACTGCCGGTTAACTGGAGAGTGTTCTATTAACTTAAATGAATGTAACTGTAAAGTTAACTTTGAAAATAAATAATTGCTTAACGAGATTCTTAATTCTTTAAAAGTTAGCGCAGTGCCGGAACTTAGTTCAGTTTAATTGTACCTGAGGGACCAGCCGCCCACTTCTAGCTGAAGTGGCTCAGGACCTCAGCTCTATGCTGCTGTGCACTGTACATCGGTACAAGATCGCCTGCACTCGAGACGTACGGCGAGTGACTGCACGGTGCTCAATCTGCCCCAAGGCTTTTGTCAGTTCCAGGAGCCACTTAGCTGACCGGATTGTATTTTCAAATGCACGGTTGTGCATTTAAAGTGAATGCAAAAAATATATAGAGGTAATATTTAAAAAGCTCATTCATTTCTCTATTATTAAATACTCATAGCAATTTGTGATTGCACCACAAGTACAACAACGTACGCCGATGTAGTCCGGCAACAAACACGTGGCGGGTCCTCCGGCATGGCAATGTGTCGACATGACATCTCAATTACCCTTTTCGGGAAACTTAGTGATAAATTATTCAGTCCTATATAGGTATCAAATCTAAGTACCTTTTGACCTTCGAGGGCTGGTACAGACCGTAAATTAAACATGCCACGTCATTACTCAATTTTGCCAGAAACTGGGAGCTAGAGCGCCAGAGGAACCCTTATTAAACTTTTTACGAGTCAAGTTGGCTGGAACATTAAATATATTGGCTTCGCTTGGCCGGAAGGACGCCTCCTGTTATGAAATGCTGTCTATCGGGAAGTATGGCGTAAAGAGCTAGCTCTAACTCATATCCTCCGACAAGTGTACGCTTTTATTTATACGACAACCGGAGCTCTTTACGTTATACGCATGAGGAATAAAATCAGTATTTCTGATCGCGATTATTCGTTATTCATATAACCGTATCGATAATCCTGTTGCTTAAATGGTTATTGTAGGCTCTTATTGTGTGGAGCGTAATCTACAAAAGTCTATTAATAGTACAATAACACGTTTGAGCAAGAAATTATGTAAAGCCTCCACATTAAGTTTACGTAATGTATTTTGCTGGAATCTAAACCGTGGCCGTGGCGCGACATACCGTGATAATAATTATCGTGATCAGGATTCCACGGGCACTAACGAGGCAGGCAGTAAGCAATCTGTTATACACGAAACATATTATTGTCGCTCGAATAATAAAAATGTACAAAACAAAGTGGAAGTAGGCAACAAAGGGCCGGCAGCCATTGCTCTGTCACTAGCAGACAGAGAGGTTGTTACTGTCGTACCAGGGATGCCAAACGACTTTGTTTATCACGAACATTTTTTGTCGAGCTAGTTTTTATTCCGCTGGGATTGACGCATTCCTAGTTTATACTCGGAATATTGAAGCGAGTCACATCGAACGGGTTATTTGTGTGTGTGAGTCCGGCACTCCGTCAGACAACATTACTTCTGCGGAAACTGAAATGTTTCTCACCTTGGTAAATACACGAAGGCGACTTTCACAATCTCGCTACTCTGTAATCCTTCGCGTTACTTATTTCTTATGTTGTTTGAGTTGTCGCTTACCTTGTTTTGTTAGTATCCTACTTGTTATTGGAGAAAAACATAGGAGTACCTTCATATTTGCTTACTGTTCAAGACATAAAGAACAAAACTGGTAAAATAGGGTGACAATTCAAGTACCAACTTACGTCTCTTATGCTTCTTGTTAGAACAACAGGCGTAATGTAATGTTCCAAGATATCACATTACTGCCAATGCCTGTTACAGTCAGCTGCTCGCCGCCGACAGCCCTGCGATGTCGGTGGGGGTTCCGGTTATTATTTCCACGAGAAAGATTTAACCGTGAGTGACGTCACCGCGGCCTGGTGTCTCAAACATTGTACCGATGACGTGCGCAGTATACTGTTGACCAGTTCTAAAAACTTTGCTGAATTTGTATAGTAGGTACTGTTTTATTTTGACTAGCAAGAATGATAACATTAAAAATCGAACAATATATTTACTTTTGACCAACAGGCGTGTTCTTCAATAAAATTATCTTATCGCTGAATAAGCTATGAAGCTCTAAAATATTACAGTTAGCACAAGAGTAGAGTACGTGTAGTAGCGCGGCCGAGGCTCATCTCTCATACATGTAGCGTGGACACTCGGCTTAGCTCGCACATCTAGCCGGCCACTGCAACGTACTGCTCTTAACAATGAATATCACCAACACCGGTCTAACTTTGCAACGCCTCGGGCCAACTCCACAAAGGTGCAATACTTACCCACTCCCACTCACACAACGTCCAAAAGCTCAACCACATCAAAATTGAAAATGAACTTTCAACATAACACGACAAAGTTGTTATTGGACTGGCACAGTAACGAAAGTGGAATGTTCTAGAATGTTTCCAAAAGGTTTTGAAAGCGCGGACTCCTGGCAGGCATGTTTACTCTGGCTCTCTGCGGCTGATGTAAGAATGACCTCAATAACCGAGGGACTCACTTCTTGTGGACACTTACTATCACACTGTATTAACAGATGATGTGTGACGTCACATTAATTAATTATTCTATGCATACGTTATGATCGGCATTGTGTTGCTGAATTTTAGTTCGCCACAGCAAATATTAGTGTTTGGATGCATAATGGCCGATCATGTTCATGTTTGCTCTGCTGTTCTCGCTCGATAAGTTTTAATTATTCACAAGTACCGTTTGATGTTTACTGTAACAATTTAGTTTGTGGTAAAGTTATTGTTACGGTTGATGTAGTTAGGGGATGAAAATGTATATCTTAGGATCTAGTCCAGGACTAATTTGCAACCGTTTTATTATTCGATCCCTTATGCAAAGTTCTATCATTTGGAAGACAGGTTGTAGTGATTGTAGTGTAACAAAACGGTGACGGTAGACAGGTAAGTGTACGCACTGAACACAATGTACCTACATACATTTACGTACCAGTACAGGTATATAAAACAAGCGTTGTTCCGCAACAAGTCGTCGTCGGGCGCAGCACATCCGCAACTTTGCGCCTAAAATAGATTTACCGGCTCATCCCGGCTGATAGGAGCACAAACAAACTGATCCGCCGACTGATTGATCAGACAACAAATACAATGACAAATATATTTGCTTCACAGCGCGACACGAATATATTGTATTCTCGTCAATGTCAATACATGCGCCGCGCGCCCTACTGCCGCGTGTTTTTTCATCTGCACCATCCTAATATTTCAAATTCGGCAGATTCTTGGGTCGTCATCAATCATTTTATTGACGTTTGAATTTTTAATATAAATAAATATACATATATGTACATATAGATTCCATGTCGCTGGGTTCGACATTGATGAGTTAAGCGATATGTAAGACTTGAATTATTATTGACTTGTTTTACTGACTTATTTATTTGACTGTACTCCCTGGCACTAACTTTACCCCGAGATTAGCATGCGAATAACTTATTTATATTCATAGATTTAGCGAATCAACACTTTACACGGCACTAAAGCCGATCCAAAAACAAAGAGATGAAAGCTGAAAATACTGTTTTCAGCTTTTCATGTTAAACAAGTCGTTAAAGGAGATGAACGCTAAGAATAAGTTAATTTGGTTTTGTTAGTCAATGTTCCGGTAAGTAAACAATGAGCGTCTTTGTTGTTACCACTGCTTCTGTACTGCGAGCACTTTATTATTTCAGCGCGGGAACTGAACATCGAACCACACGAACATTACTTCTTTAGGCCGTGTTCTACTGAAATGTTTGGCAAACTTTATATTATTATACTTTATCCACAATGTACTGTAGATAAGTAAGACGCACAAATCCAGTGCGACAGTGGTAGTTGTATAAAAGATTAGGGAGGTGTGTGTAAATGTTATTTTGTCACAAGTACATCGTCGGGGAGTAAATCTATCATCAGCGCGACCCTCTTCACGCGCGCTTAGCTGGAGGTCCGCCGCCGTCCTCCGCCGTCCTCTGAGCCACTCCAGCGGGCTGAGAGGACAACTGACACTCGTTTTCATTACGTAACAACAACTCCAGTACTTAATTGGATTTCAAGTGTCAAATGGCTGCCTATTGACAGAAAGAGTTTAATTATTTTCGGCTATTGGCAGATTGCCCTTTCAGAGAAATATTTACTGAGTATTTTAATTGTTTTTTTAATGAAAATGGTAGGTAGTTCAGTTTCAGAAGTCATGAATTCTATCAAGAGGAAGCGGTGACATTTGTGATTTACTCAGCTCCACGGCATGATGATTTCACTTCTACCACAGTTGTTTTGTATCCTGTAAACTAGACATTCAGATTTGAAATGCGTGGTGCTACTGTTTGTGCACCTAAAATGCTTAATAAAATACTGCCCCATAACGGAAGTATTTTTCGAATGTATGACCTTTGTAAAAGCTGTTAAAGTTTCTAAGACTTACAACAAAATAGAAAACGCACAAGATGACGGAATGTTTCAAATATATATTTCCGTGCACGTTTGTGTGATGTATGTACACAGATCTAGTAATCTCATAATGTAGGGAATCAGTGTACATTACACAACTAGTTGTTATTCGTGTCAGGCGGCGGACATTACAGTGGTAGGCCGGCTAACTTCGGAACTGTTCGGCTTACTTCGGCAAAGTTCGTGTTTGCTCGACCTATCACACGTTCACATGGCTTAACGTTTATCATGGTGGCCTAGGACTAGGAAACTGTCCCGTTGTCTCTGATGGCTTTGGCTCGAAGCCAGTCGGTGAGAGCTCTGAGGCCGCAGTCATGAGGTGTGGAAATATCAACAATAAATATTTCATAACACACCTATGAATACTAGTATTACTAGCTTGCTGGGAATTTATTTCTATTGTTGATCATCAATTTCTTTATACATTGCTATTTTATTTCTAGATTTTGAACCACAATGAGGTATTAAAACCTCTTGACTTATCCATGTAAAGTCTGTGAAACGTTCAGGTGTTCCCTGGAGCCTGGCCTAAGTCGTCAGCGCTTGCTTACGTTACTTCCATACTATTTATAGTCCACTCGCCGTTATCTACGGAACCACTATTTGCTTCACTTATTAATACTATTATTTATGCCAAAGATGCTCCTTGCAGTCCGTGAATAAAATTATTCTATATTCTAATCAAGTGTTTCAATTTAATGTATAAAATCAAATGAATGGCGTCTAAGATTTCTAACTAATTAAAATAATTTACCGTTACACTACAGATATTGTACTTACCAAGACTTGAATACTACCACTAGGTAATAAAGTTACAATCTACTGAACACACAGACAGAAAACAAGTTTAGACTAGTTAGCAGGAACAGTCAAGTGTTCAATGTCACTGTGTCAAACAGATTAGTTGATGTCAGAGAGTAACGAATCGTGTCGTGTCGTGTCGTGCCTCGTCGGACAAAACAATATGTCTAGCCAAACATAAACATAATGATAGTTAAATACAGAAGGCATTGTGTGCTCTCTTTGTGATTTAATTATATCAATAGTATGTATAATCAAGTAATATAATGTTTAAGTAAGTATAGCTGCGTTCAGTATCAAATCAGTAATAAGTTACAAGAATTTGTTGATCCAGCGCACATACGAGGTGATGCGAGTGTACCCGGTGGGGTAGCCAGCGTCGCAGCCAGCCGCAGACGTGAACGATACCAGCCCCACCTGTGGACAACACAACGGTATACTGGAAGTGGCTCATATCATTTACAAATTGTTAAGATTTCAATTCTGTACTTAGTTAAAAAAGCTTTATCAAAATTGATTCATGCTTTTCTATGCTGCGATGGGAGAAACAGACATATGGATAAGCATACAGTTTAAACTTCCTTCAATAATGTACGTTTTCACCAACCTCTTTCAAATTTTAAGGAGCTCTTAAGCGGTGGTATATGTAAAAGTGGTACTTTTTCGTAGGACGTTTTGGTTTTCATGAACCTATAAGTGACACCTAAAGTTAAAGGAAGGGGTCAGTTTAAGTGCTCTATAACATTAAGTAACTCTCAGTTAAGAGATGGTAAAAGATAGTGACAACGGCCATAAGAGTAGTATCGGTTATTGTATTCATACCAGCATATCATTCCCTGACGCCCCGACGAACCGGCGCAGTACGAGCGGGCCGCCGTAGTCGCCCCCGCACGCTCCCTTCCCGTTGGCTCCGCTGGTGCACATGATGGCGCTGGTTATCACGTCTCCATATATTTGGCCACATTCCGTATTGTTCATCACCGTCACATACACATCATTCAAGCTGGAGTTTTCTCCTAATGTAGCATCTACAAGAGAAAAACTTTGATATAAGCCACGCTCTTAACAAAGTCACGGACGCCAAATTGAACTAGATTGAAGATAAAATAACTAACTTGATTTTGCTGTAAAAATGTTATTAGTTAGGGAGCTGATGACTAAATAGTAGTTAGAAAAATAATCGAGCGAAAATAACATAACATAACATCACATCACGCCTTTATATTCTTTTATAGGGGTAGGCAGAGGTGCACATTACGGCACTTAAAGCCACTGTACAATGTAACACGCACGTTTCACTATTTATGTTATGAGTTCCATGTAATAGGGGGTGAGCCTATACAGGGCACAATTCCAGACTCCGTGCTACTATTGAGATTTTTTTAAAACCCAGTAATACTTTGCCCGACCTGGGAATCGAACCCGAGACCCCATGCCCGACAGTGTGAAAATATTATTTTGAGAAAGGAGAACTTAAGTACGTACCAGGAGATGTTTTTCCGTATCCAATAATTTCAGCTTTATAGCCAGCGAGAGAGCTAAAATATGCCACCGGCAGATCTATAGGGACTATATATCCTGAAACAAGTATTTTTTTATTATGATGCAATTCAAGATTGAATTAACACGAAGCGCTTCGCATCAAGTTTCTTTGTGCGTACTGTTAAGGAGTGGAATTCTTTGCCAGAGTCTGTGTTTCCTGGAGGGTATAACCTGGGTGTCTTCAAGGCCCGAGTGAATAGGTTGCTTAATGGGTCGACGTGCTCCATCGTAGGCCACATCATCGCTTACCACCAGGCGAGATAGTGGTCAACAGTCAGTTCCATTTAATATAAAAAAAAGATTACGCCCACAGTACGCACTGTGTATTATTTGTGAATGTGTCGTAAGAACTTACTGCTGTAAGAAACATAGGGTATCTCTACTATGGCGATATCGTTGGTGAGGGTGTAGGGGTCAAACTCTTCGTGCAGGTTCACTCTCTCCGCGTACTTCCTCGTGCCTCCAGTAAAGAGGGTCGCTGTGCCTAGCACTACCTGCGAGACATGCAAATATATAGTCAATAACATTTTAAAGACTTAATAATAAATCTGCTACTGTCATTTAGAAAGAGAGTCATCTTGACATTACGGGATTGTAGTCAGTAGGCATACATTAACACATTCTCGAAGGTAGACACTGACCTGGATCGCCCTGCCTTCATTCTCCCCGTCGTACCAGCACTGGCCGATGGTCACGACGTGGTAGTGACTCAACAGGGTGCCTCCACAGATGGAGGTTATTCCGGTCTTCAACGTGATTATAAGTCCAGCCTGGATTGGAACATGTTATTATCGTCATCTGATATTATCTACATAGAGAGAGCTTTAACAGAATATCTGGGAATGTTATTGTTTGAAGAATATTGTACTCTACTCTAATATAAAACACAGAAGACTCTTCTTCTTGTAAATACAATTAAGTGACACATCCACATAGCGGTCGTTATTATAAATCAGAATCACTGTTATTATACCGAATTATGTGTTGGTTTCTTTAAGTAATTACACTTACAAAGTATGGATGTTCCCCTTTAAAAGAAGCCAGCCCGCCAGCAATGCGCATCGACTCTTGGAGTCCAATCTTCTTCGCCATCGGTATGCCGACGCGCTCATGGTACTTCGCTGCCAAGGTTTGGCACACGAGTCCTACCACACAAACACACAGCAGCACCACCTTCATTGTGTTCAATTAGGGTGACTATGAGTGAAGCAGCCATGTAATTACTGTTATATATTGTAATGCACGTGGTCTTTACGAATTTCTCTCAAGTGTAATGATTATTTTAAAGTGCCACTCTATAACGGGGCTTCACTCGGACGAGTTCGGAGCTGATGCGTCATTTCAAAATGACGTAGATGCTATATTTTACTACTTTATGTGAATAAAGTAACATAAATAAAAACGAGAAACACTCTCATAGTTGGGACTAGGGTGGGATAAAAATCAACCAAAGAGTAAATTATTTACAGTCTTCGACAGAGTTCTAGTTTGCATCAAACTACGTGAATATGTACAAAATGTCGGTAAATCAGGAAACAAGTTTCATTTTATTAGGCTAGGTAAACCATGATAAGGAAGTACTGCAACTGAAGTGTCTGTCTGACCGACTGAATTGAATTATCTGCATTCGTTATCAAGTCGAGAAAGTTCCTCATAGTAAAATAGAAATCACTCGTAACTGTCATGCCTGATATTTTCACTAAAGGCGTGTTCTGAAGTTTTACCATTTACTACACATGTATAAGTACGCGTAGTTTCCTATAACATAATTGTAATACATACTCCTATTACAGTTGAGAGTCTCAAGCTGTAAGTGGCGTAGCATGCACCGGCTACCGCAGACTTGGTGCTAGAAACAAATTGGAACACTAAAATCTTAACCTGACCCGGAATCCGTACAGACCTTGACCGTGCATGTTCTCTAGTACTAGATGTAGTATCGTACGTGTTCTACTACCAGAGGAACTACACCAAGTTGTAGCCATTACTCTCTTTACAGCATCATTAGGTTCAGCTCGTTTACGACACAATTTCATATGAACCCGATAACGTTTATGGCTCTGGATATTGTATTAAATTTGGATAGCTCGTAAAAGATTTTAATGTGAAGCGAGTTAAATGGCGTGTTACGTGGCGTGTAGTAACATCGATATTGTGTCACTATTAACGGGAGTATTATGGGAGATATATTAATTACTGCTGGCTGCATTGATCGTGGGGATGGAAGGGAGACTGGTGAGTAAGGCGTCTGTTTCTTAAACATTTTTGGAATTTTTTTCGTTGAAGAAATTCTCACCATATTTTGGAATGCTAATGGAAATTATTTGTGTATGAGATTTAGTAGTACTTATATCTTGCCATTAGGTTACAGAAGTGTCAGAATCTATGTCTGTCGGTCACAACACTAATTATAAAATAGTTGTACAATATTTGACCTTTACACTAGCAAGCTGTAGTGCCGGGATATATCCCAACGTTTGGCATTTAACGTTAACAAACTTGAACATTCCGAAGAAATAATTTTCATAAGCACACACTGTTATATTTACTTGAGTGGTTCTATACTGTTGGGGAATTATAGTTATTAGCCTTATATCTATATATCAATAGACAGACATTCCTGACTTAATATTTGTTGCTTACAATTATTACTTTTAAAACACTATCAAATTATTGTAACTTTCGTGGGACATTCTAAATAAATTATTATGTTTTCGGCTTACTCACGTAACTATTTGACGAGGAACTCGACTAGTTTCAAGCCATGCTGGAGGCTCATATTCATGAGCAGCATTTCGCGACCCGCGACGATGAGCCTCTAACGACGATGAAACTAGTCGAGTTCCTCGTCAAATTATTACGTGAGTATACCGAAAACATAATAACTTACTATCTAATTACTTTAAATTGATTAGTTCCTTCAGCACTGCTTATATCCCGCAGGAAATATGTTTTCCTTTCCAAATAACTGAAGCCACGTATCACACTGTTATCAGTCACTTAAGATCAACACACTCACGTTTTCCGTGTGTTGAATCGAAGTGATACATCACATCATTGTCTATAATGTGATAACGTAGATAACTGGCTCCTATATCTCTTCTAGGAACAATAATAACATAATTGAGTTCCAGTTAATCAAACTACCACAGTTACGTACCAAGTTAATAATGAACCAAAATGAAGCAACCCCGGTGTGGTGCGCCGCACCGCGCGAATATCTGATGATTCTATTAAATATTACATTTTATTAAAATGCCCCTGCGGAGTGTAATGCAGCGGGAACTTTTAACAATTTACATCAATTGAAATCTTTCGTTATAGTGATGGGATTTTGTATGTAATACGTCTGTATCTAATTGTACGTGAAATTATGACTGACTTTTTCTATCTTCTTTTATCGTTTTCTATTATTAGTAACCTTTTCAGTTTACCAGTTAAAATATCCTGCCTTGGTAAGTTATTTCAGAAAAAAGCAATCTGTAAACAAAATAATTCAGATTGTCGTTTTCTACCATCATTGGACAAAGGTCGTAGAATGTTGAAAACAATACTCTTGATTGAGGATATTTGTATGGAACAGCTCGCTGTCCAACGAGAGTACGTCGCACGCATTTTGGACATCAAAGTTAACCCTATAAAAGTCGCGTAGACTTTTATTTGAGTATGGAACATAGGTATTCAATTCATTCCATTATACGGCACTAGCGTTCATTAACACCAGCGATGCTCAATGGGTCGGACAGGCCCGCCCCGCTCGATCCGGCACGCCTCGTTAACGACAACCTTTCATCTGATTAACTGCTAGCCTTTTAAATACCCCTCTGTTTCCCCGTTTTATTGGCGGGATTCCAGGGGCGCGCGACATGTCACGTCATGTGAGAGATGCGAGCTACAGCTTCATACCAACCCTACATAGCTCGCTGCTCCACTTACTTTTTGAATAAAATATATCAATAGATGTCGTATGAATAATGTCCCGGTAAATAATTATTGTTCATGTGTTGGTATTGCGTGGCCATCGAGGTAATGAATGTTTGTTGCTAGTTAATTGGATTGATTGTCGTTACTAAATTAAAACATTGAAAGCAATTCGGGTTTAATGTGAGTGCTATCCATTTGATTTTATCTCCAAATAGTTGTAATTCTACGTAGGCGGACAAACTAAATGTTTTCTATAATACCTAGTACCAGGCAGGCTCATTTTAATAAAAGTAAATGTACTTCCAAGAATTTATTGCTTTGAATACAGAAACAATTTCGCGAATGAAAAAGTGATGTTTATACGTCGAAGTATATTTTATACCCGTTACTTTCTTAAGGGTTGTTTCGCGTTTTTATGATCGACAATTTTCTTATTAAAACGACGGCGACCTGTGAAGTGTATCGTAACAGCGCGCAGTAACAATGTCTCTACAACTTGTCATTTCAGCAAAAACAAATGTCGAACATTGAAGCAATGAGCGACTTTCGTAAGAACAAAAGACGAGATTTTTGCTACTAATGTCGCTATTATCACGCACGATCTAATGAACATATAAAAACACCTTGTAAACTAGAGCGGTCCAAGTTATCATGCACCCTAATACCCACGGAACAGAGTTGAAAATAACTTGACGAAGGTATCTGGTTATTGAATTTCTTGTGCCCACTGGGTCCACTCACGTATTTCTGTTCACATAGTTTCGAGATGTTTCCTTCGCAGTAAATCTACGTATAATGTCTAATGTATAATCAAGGAAGTGATATAACTACCGAACTTAAGTTACTGTCAGCACAAGCGATTACATTAATAGTCATTAAACAGGTTTTAATAATTAAATTCTATACCTAATATAAAGTTAAGCAAAAGACTGAACCGATGACTACTTATAATAATACAATAATAATTTGTTTATTTATTTGCCACTTGTTTGCCAATCACGTTGCGAACAACGAGTCGCATTGTAGAGATTTAAACTAATTAGAATTAACTTGAGTACATCTCAACAGGTAACTTGACGCGAATAAGTCGCCAAAAGCGATGACTTTACGAGTAATGCCATACAATGGTGTATTGAAAACATTTAGAATTCGAAGTAAAACGGTAATGAGAGATAGGATCAGAAATAAAACAAAATTAGTCACGTAGGGCACAGTTTATGTGAGTAGTGGTTGTAACGTCGGGCGGCGCACGCCACGCGCCCCCGCGCCCTCGCGCCCCCGCGCCCCCGCCCCGATCACTACTAGATCGTATCACTTTGATTGCTGTTCAAACTAATAGCGCTTTTCAAACTGCTGTTGTTGCCGTATCACTATTTTGTATATTTTAAGTGTTGTATTTACTATAAGTTTCATTAACATCCGGACTTCAACTAATTATAAAAATACTATAAAGTAACATCTTTCCTCTGAAAGTTTCCAACTAAGTTTTGGTCGACTTAACCACTCTTGGCCAAAAGTATTTTCTATAAAGAGACTCACATTTTCCTTCCACAAGCCGTTAAGCAATTTAAGCTTTAAATTGAAGGTGATATAATTACAACAGATGCTTGTCTGGTGGGTTTTCACCTACCAGTAACCATATTATATATATACCCTGGAATATGTATTAGGAAAAACCCCCAAACCAAACTCGTATAGTATCTAAGCTACGAATAGCACATCGTTATGTATTATTCTATTTGTATTATATTCTTACCTACTTATTTCATTTTAATGTGACAATTTCCTCGAACAAATGTAAATACTAGTTACCTACTAACATAATTCATTACCTTGATCTATCATCATTCTTAATATGATTTCTGTAAACATTGACAAGTCAGCTACTTATATACGTAGGTACAATATTAAACACATCGTTCCCTATGAAAGGAAACTCTTTAATTTCAAGAAGATTACATTCATGAGACACGAGGAGTCGAAGACATGATGAATTAGTTTTATTTATAGCACCAGGGTAACAGAGGGTAACATGTTCTGAGACACGCGTGCTCGGGGGTAATGACATGAAATAAACGCACACTGAATTAATTATTATACCGAATACATAACAAAATAAAAAAATGAACTCCAGCACGAAGTAATCAACATTATCGGCATCTACTTCATTGAAGGTAATTTTTACTGAAAGTAGTAGGTAGTTGAAAGAGAATTAAATGCATTCGTAAATATGTCCCCAAATTGCTCGACATACT